AAGGCGTTGGCATCGGCATCGGCATCATCTACTGTTCCAGATTTTTAGCTGAGGATCAATGTGTAGTCACCACCTTCGCCATGGCGAAACTAAATATATTCGATCAAGCAAAAAACAAATGTTTTTCTGCAAAACTCTTTCGCTAAAGTCGATGCCTAGCTGCAAAGTGTGAGCAAACTCAGTTTCCTATTTTTCTAGATGATCTTAGCTTTAGTTCACGAAACTGAAAAATTTTTTTTAAATCTACGTTTAATCGATCGTCGCATAACTGATTATTATATGCTACTTTCATGCTTCGCTGAAGTATTGCAGAATCACCTTCAGGGTACAAGATTATTCACAAGTTTGTAAAAGAATTTGATTCCAAAACTGTTGTCAGTAAGCTTTCTTGGCCTATGGTTGACTTCACACATAATACAAACGTTTCATGGTCATTAAAGTTTAAACGTGCATTTGCACCTCGTGCTATTCTGAGGGAGCAATCAGATGAGTCTAGACGAATTGCTGCTTTAGGCTTACGCATCAGACAGCATAGCTGTATGCCTCACATGATTTGGCATGAACGAATCAACCCATCAGTCAGTTCGTCTTATTGGCAGGCCAACGACCTTCGTCTTATTGGCAGGCATTTCTCTACTTGTTGCACAGAAGCATAGCGCGTGGAAACAATCCTTTACTCAACGAAATTAGCAACAAATAAGAAAACATTTACACCGTTTGGTGGGTTTCAACCTGGCACTGTAATATGCGAAACAACCTATTGATGCGTTGCAGTGCTGTCACACATATGTAAAATGTTCATAAGGCTGAAACGCTGAATGCTTAAGTCGCAACAACTGGTCGTTGAGATTTCACAGCTAAAGATTGACGTTTTGGATTAAAGGGCCACGCTGTTTCTGTTTAAAAATTTATAGAGACTACTGCTTTATACGGTAACTTATACACTGTCAATGAGACCTTGTCAATTTTGCATATATTCATGCAGACGGGATCATTTGACTGTGCGCGAGTATCAAATAGTAATGGAGATTGTGCAAGTTGTTAACACCAAAAAACGCTATCGTAAATTATCAATGTTATTAATGAGTTTTATATTACAAGTTATATTTAAATATTGAGTTTACTATGTTAACAGCGACGACATCCTTGCTGATGTCTGTTGTTTTGTATTAATTTAGTTTATTGGAAGCAAAAAGGTGATGTCATGACTTCTGGTGAACGAAAGTTTACGCATTTACATTTCCTATGCTACACAGGTGATGCTGAACATCGATACGCATATGCCTGAGGTTCAAACTACTTGATAGTATGATTTGCAGAGAAGTAATTAAAAAAGGGAAAGTAGCACCATAAGTTTATGGCGAGAGATCATTGGCTGTTCAGGTTTCATTCCCTAATTGTTCATAACAGGTGCTGGATGAAAATTTTTTTCATAATTTACAAGAAAATAAAAACACTCAAACACCTGTGAACCCACTGAGGAAACAAGCAGTTTGCTAAAATTACCATTTTTCGTAGGTTACCCAAACGGCAGAAAAAATGGCAAACCAACTAATCCAAACATCAGTTGCAAAGTATTGTTGCAAACGTGTTCATGAAGAAATTCGAAGCAAAACGTTTGTGAAACATTTTAGCCACTAGTGATTCTTTAGTTGGGCAGAAGAGTTCCCGTGTTCGAGCATTGTTTCACACATTAGCTTTACGTTTGCGTAGTCTTTAACTTGTAGTAGAGAAAAAGTTCATGCGCAAATATTTTTTTCAAAACATTAAGTTCCCTGGCTTATGTGTCAGTCATTATATTTGCTTTGCGATACAGGAAGTTGTTTATTTATCTGATTTACATGATCTGCATGGAGTAAACTACCGTACCGTACTTGCGGATTGCGCCGTGGCATTTGAATGGTCGCTGAATATACGAGCGCGCACTGATTCGACAACTCAAAATACCGATAATTCCTATTATCGCAGACAAAGGCTTTTGGTTCGCGGTGATTGGTTAGGGCAATGAAATCAGCATTATGCTCCGTTTATTGTACAGCAGGTTCCATGTGGTACGGCAAATTTTCGTCGGGATCTTCTATTGTTTTGTTTCGTTGAGTGGCACTGCGCAGACAAATTTAAAAATCGTACCCGGCAGTCGCCAGTGCACGCTCATTTCCAGATG